ATAGATAGATAGATAGATAGATAGATAGATAGATAGATAGATAGATAGATAGATAGATAGATAGATAGAGTATTAGGATACGTTTATGTGATTGGAAGACAAATAAACAAGGATAAACACTCCAGGTTTTTAAAAAGCTTTGCTTAGAAGAACCAGAGCTCCAAGTGGATACTTCTGTCAAATCTTTTTGTATCCTCAAGAGAAAGTGTGGAAAAGGAAGGAAACAACCAGTTTGACACTTATACACATGACAGTAAACAATTGTTTGGTATTCCATCCATCTTTATTTTGTCTCAAGCACTGCTGGCTTTCATTTTATCTTATGTTTTTTCTCTCTCTCATCAAAGCTTAGTTGTAATGGGCTGATTATTTCAAGATGATGGAAAAGTCTGTTGAATTGTGTGGGTTGTGCATGTGAAAACAACCTTAGATTGTCATTCTAAATTGCATTTTTATTATTTGTAGAAGCTTTTCATTGATCTTATATATCAAGAAGGCAATAAGGGAAACTGGTAATTTTGTTTGAGAACATAAGAACTCAGCTGCCGTGACTTATGTGGTTGTTTTGAAACAACAATATAGACAGTCCTGTAATAGAATATACTGGGCATGAAGTTCTATAGAAAGTTCTGGTTTGATCAAACTCTGTAAAACAGGGCTGTGAAACTCATATCCCGAGGGCCAGATGTGTCACAACTGGGTTATTGAAGGGGGGGAAATGTCATGATACATCATGTGATGATGCCGTGACGATGCAAGTTTGACACCCCTGCTCTAAAACATGTTTGAAAATCAGGATCAAACTTTTGAAATAATCTATTAAGTCAGCACATATTAGTGAGAGAAAACATGCATACATCGGCAACTAATTCCTGAGGTCTGAAAACATGCTTTTGCAAATATTGGCGGGGGAAATAGCAACAACAGTGATAATAATATGAATTGGAGTGCTTACCTTTCTGCTACTTTAGACATTTTTAAACAATGCCTGTCTATCTGAACGTTCAGAAACGATATCTGAAGAAAAAAAAAACAGCTCTTGAAGAAACAACTAAATGCAGCTGCATAGAGGTGCTGTTATGGCAGTGATTTTATTTGATGGTTTACAAGATTGGCATCATAATACATTGGAAAATATGGACTCTAATCCAATGTATCCATGTATTCTGCTCTATATCTGGAAGGCATTTTCCCCGTCAACTTTAAGTAAATTTGTTGTTCTCTTTTCTATGTTGCAGGTATCCTAGGCATCCAACACCCTTTCAACTTTGTTATTCTCATGTAAACCAAAGGAGGATGAAGGGTAGAATTCAGCTGATTTACTAGCTAAACACCCCCCCCCCCAAAATAACTGTAATTATCTGAAGGAACACATTTTTAACATCTTATTTACTGAAGATTACGTCTACAGAATTTTTTTTAAAAAACCAATCCATCTCTCAAATGCAAAAGAAACAGATTCAAAGCCATTTAGCTTACTTGCTTTCGGACGTCATCTTTTGTTGTTTTGCGAATTGGTTGGGAAGGGATATGTGCAGGACTTTGGGACTGATTATCTTCTGTAACTCCATAAACTGACTGTAATAAAAAGTTGAAAATAATTTGCCACCTAAGCGTAATCCTCAGTAGAGAGAAATTGCATAGCCTTCAATGGTTAACGATCACATTCATTCAAAAAGAAGATGAACCATGTATTCTCTAATGAAAGAGTGGCCATGAACGTTAAAAATGGAGGTTTGAAATGGATGTATGTAATATTTGAACTGAATATAATTATTCTTTTTTTTTTTCTAGATGTAATCGAGGAAAAAAAGACATTAGGTTTATCTTAAAGGCTTTTGTAATGTCAAAATAATAATAATTTCAGGTCATTCCATTAAGATATATAAACAAACTATACAGAAATTTTTGCACAAACTGAGAGTTATTTTTTACTTAGGTTGATGTCAATGTCTTAATATAGATCAGCACTAAATGTATCCCATAAAAATCTCATCTAACATGTTTTATAGGTTCTTTGGAGAAGAGAAAAAGAGCCTTGCCTTTTTGACCCTCTGTGGATTCTTCATTCGCCGACACTTTCTGATGTCCATCTCTGTTGTATTCACACAGCCCGGCTAGGAAAAAACATGCAAAAATATCAATTTTGTTTAATGTTTATACTGCCTTTCATTTTCTACAGACCAATGATTTCAAACTCTGACTTACGGTGCAATTAGAATCGCATTTTTAATCTAACATTTGGAAGTTCATTTAGAAATCACAGCAGGCTAATTCAGCACAAATTAGCTTTCAGTGAGGCTCAGTTCAATGGAAGAGTGGGTTCATCTATTTTCTACTTGCAGGACACATATTGTCATTGGGTGCACTTTGCTAAAAAATCAGATCTATAGAGATCATAATCATTTGACCTCTCCACTCAATTTTTGGAGATAAAGTATTCGTTTGAACTCCACTTTTATATAATAGCTAGATTCATATACTGTGCTAAGCCTTCATCATTTATTTTTTTGCTTTCTGAACAAATTGGGGCTTATTAGGGCTACCATAGCTAGTTTGCAAAATTCAGACAACTGCTAGTCTTTTTGCTGTCATCTAAAGATCATCCGGAATTGGGCAGCTAAAATATGGTAGTCTACATAAGTCATTTAGGGGCGTGGTGGCTCAGTGGCTTAAACGCTGAGCTTGTCGATCAGAAAGGTCGGCAGTTTCAGCGGTTCAAATCCCTAGCACTGCGTAACGGAGTGGGCTCCCATTAATGGTCCAAGCTTCTGCCAACCTAGCAGTTCGAAAGCATATAAAAATGCAAGTAGAAAAATAGGAACCACCTTTGATGGGAATGTAACAACGTTCTGTGTGCCTTTGCCATTTAGTTATGCTGGCCACATGACCAAAGAGATGTCTTCAGACAGCGCTGGCTCTTCAGCTTTGAAACAGAGATGAGCACAGCCCCCTAGACTCACAAATGACTAGCACACATGTGCAAGGGGAACCTTTACCTTTACATAAATCATAGTTCAGTAAATAACACCTTAGATATTCACTCATAGTTTCTATCATCCCTCTGATGCAAATATGCCCAAACTATAATTGATTCCTTGAGAATAAACAGATTTCTTTCCAGCTTGCACAGTATTGCTCAATTTGATGGTAACCAACAGTTGCAGTTTCAGTTCACATTTTATTGATTTATGTATTATTGCTTATTAAAGAAACAATCAAACTGCATGATCTGGATAAACACTTCAATAACAAAGGACAAGATAGTCAAATGTTATGTACTCATAGAAAGGAGAATTAATAGTGGAAGAATATTTTTAATTAGACTATTTTCAGCATAAAATATCTTTAATTTGTCTATTTCCAGCATCAGATAACTTAGTCCACATTTGCTTTTCTCATCCTGCAACTGCCATTTTAAGCCAAATCCATTTATAAAAAGTACTGAATATATATTGAGATTTGGCATTTTATCAAAATTAGATATTCTTACCATTTGCAATCTAGTTTTAAAAGTATATTGCAAAGTGCCCAGCAAAAGGCTGGTATGCAGTAAATTAAAGAATATACCAAATATACTTGGTGAACTGCATAGAAGGCTCTGGCAATGGGCAATCGTACATGAAACTATTTGCTTTGCAATACAGCATTCTTCTTGCTTCATACAAGATCAAGATAAACAAGATCAAATTGCAATCTTCATAACACTTGCAAAACTCCTTACTATAAAACATTCCCCCTTTTTCTAAAGGAAGCTTTAAAATGTGTATCATGCTGATGAACTTGCATAAAGATAATAAACTTTTGGTCTCACTTCCAAATATGACATTCTTTACTTCCTTACCTAAATAATTGTAAAGCAATTATTCAATTAACCTATAGAGGTAGTGGGCCACGGCCCGGGAGTTGGGACCCCTGAATTGCACTCTTGCACTCTTCTGTACACAATAGAATTCCTTACACTACTGGGCTCGAAATTCTTGGTTTGTTACTTATAACTGTGTTGCTTGTGGTCAGACCTAGGTATTGCATACAAAATTATAGATAGTAATGCTTTACCTGTAAATGACTTTTTCTGGTTTAATTGCAGTGATACACGTGACAATAACTGCTTTAAACTCAATGTAAATCGCTTTAAACCTGACTGTAAAAAATATGATTTCTGTAATAGAGTTGTCAAAGTCTGGAATGCCCTACCTGATTCAGTTGTCTCAGCTACAAATTTTCAGTTTCAGTCACAATTTGACTTCCATGGAGGTGCGCATAAGTGCACTAACATGCCTATCGTCCCTGTCATTGTATTTTTATTCTCTTATTCTTGTTCTCATTTTTGTTTGACAAATTCCAATAAATAAATAAAATTGGAGGCTTGCTAGATTGTGCTGAAGAGGAATCCCCAGCTAATTCCGACTTACATCTATGGCACTTGGTGGCCATTAGATAGAAAAGATTGCACACAATATAGACACATCACCATTGTGCCTCCAGATATTTTATAATTAACTGATTATAAAAGAATAACAAGCCTGTGAATCTTACCACCGGCCTATGAACATCCCAGAAGGCTCTTTCTTGACTATCGAGAATCTTCCTTTCTGTCTTATCCTTTTTTCTATCAATTCTAAAAAGTACAAATAAAATAGAATCAAAAGCAGTTTTGGCCTGATTTGTATGAGAATTGGTATTAATATTCATTATGATTTTTCAGTTAATAAAAACATGCATACAGACATTCTGCCATACAATCCAAACTAGGTGCCTCTCTCCATCATATTGTATTTGCACACACAATTAGTCCAGTTTACAACTAATTGCATTACTGTGCAGGATGGCCCAGAATCCTAGGCTAAACTGTGGTTAGTTAATTTGGCTCAACGTATAACGTGAATACAGATAGTCCTTGTTCCACAAATGGGACTTGCAATTTGGTCACTAAGCAAATTGGATACTAAATGAAACTGTGACTATGCTCCCTCCTAATCCCTCCCATCTCCAAACATTCACAGTTAAAGTGGCTATCTCTAGAGCAGTGTTTCTCAAGCTTGGCAACTTTAAGATGTGCAGACTTCAACTCCAAGAATTTCCCAACCAGCCATGCTAGTTGAGGAATTCTGGGAGTTGAAGTCCACAAGTCTTAAAGCTGTCAAGTTTGAACACCACTGAGGTTTTTTTTCTAAAGGGTTAGGGGTGCAAGGGTCTTGTAACTTGACAGCTTTAAGACTTGCACACTTCAAGCCAGAGTCCCTGAACCAACATGACTGGAGGAGGAATTCTGGGAGTTGAAGTCCACAAGTCTTAAAGCTGCCAAGTTTGAACACCACTGGGGTTTTTTTCTAAAGGGTTAGGGGTGCAAAGGGTCTTGTAACTTGACAGCTTTAAGACTTGTGTGCTTCAAATGCCAGAGTTTCTGAGCCAATTTTTGGTTGCTAAGCAAGAGCGTTGTTAAGTGAGTTTCACCAAATTTTACAAGTTGGCCATGCCCACCCACTCACATGACTGCCAAGCCACTCCCACTCGGTCACATGGCTGGCAAGCCACTCCCACCCAGTCACATGGCCAGCAAGCCACTCCCACAAAGCAGGACACACCTACAGAAAATGTTCTAAAAAAATTTGAAACCCACCACTGCATCCATCCAAAGGCATCTAAGAGTCAATTCTTTGCATATACAGCTAAGAGTTTTAAACTAAAGTCTCAAATTAGTTTTAGTGGTAAATAAAAATACATTCAGACTAAATTCAACCTCTGTTTGGAATAACATGGGGAATCATGGCAGTTAAACTAGGGCTAAATTTTATTTATTGTATTTATTTATTCAATTTCTGTACACACCCAATTCAACCAAGTGACCATATAGTTTTACTGGGTCTATATTATACCTGTTATAGCAATCAAAGGTGGATATGAACTACGAATTCTTCTCAACCCTTCCCCCCAAAATATTGGCAACTTCTAGAAAGGAATTGCTGTCTATGTGATAGCCTCAACAGTTAAACTAACTTAAAATTAGGTCCATAAATCGAATAGCTTTGGCAGAAAGAGTTTAACAATCAGCACCCACTCTTATCCGTGAGGCTGACATTGATTAATACAGCTCATTTAATGTTGCCTGAGGCTTTAGGGATGGCCAGCGGATAGTAGTGAGAAAACCTGTCAGAGCAGAAAGGCCACTGAATGAATTATGAACATAGGAAACATGCCGTGTGTGTGTGTGTGTGTGTGTGTGTGTGTGCCCATGGGCACGCAGTGTTCCCATGTCATTGCTTTATAAAAAATTATATTTATTTCTAAAAATAAACTGTGCTGAGGACAGCAAGACTCAAATTAAATTTAATTCTTTTTTAATGTTTATGTTAATAAAATGATCTGTAGTAGCATCACTTACTTGTGATTAGTGCCCTGCATGGCTGAATCAGTGGATTAAACCACTAAAGTTTAGTGAACTAGAGAGAAGATTCCAGTTTTAATTGGCAAAATGATATTCAAAGCCCAAATGCATATTTTTCGGGCAGAGAACGCGTTGATATAATGTCCTACATGCCTTTCAGTATTTCAATAGAATCTCCCTTTTTTGGGGGGGGGGCGATAACCTGGGTAATATTTTATAGTCCATGCACTTATGACCACTGTAGCATCGCTATGGTTACCTGATTGCAATGTGGGTGCTTGGCAACTGGCAAGTAATCATGATGGTTGCTGCATCCCAGAGTCACCTGATTGCCATTTGCAATCTTCCCAGCTAGTTTTGAACAAGCAAAGTCAGTGGGGAAGCCAGCAGGTCTCAAGTTTTGGTCTTATGATATCTTGCTTACTGGCCATGGGAAAAAATATTGTAAAATCAGGTACAGTCATGTGATGCTTCTCTTAATAATGGCATCACTTAATAACAAATTTTCCATTTCCAATTGCGGTCATAAATCAAGGACTACCTATATTCCATGCTTAATCCATGCCTAACTTCTTGTCAACAAGTAAAATTTAATGTATTCTATTGTGCAGCCATCAGTACGATGAAGCCATGCTGTGTTCAGGTCTCGAGTTCAGATTTCTTTCCTCTCTGATATGCCAGTCAAGGTGGGCCTGTGTTTTCTCAATGATTTCTCACCATAAAGGATTGGAGAAAGTGAGGGTGATGAATGAGGTTGCCTGGGTGGCAAAGAGATTAAAAAAACTTTCTAATACCAAGTGGAGTGTAAACTATAGAAATACATTCAGTTGTGGGAGGACAATTTAACCTTAAAGTATAAGCTTGAAATCGTGTATTTCATCATTACCATGTATTCAGTATCACCACAATTTTCAATCATTTGACTTGTTTTACTACAAATACCTACTTGACTTGTGCTTCAGCTTGCATAAAGATGAATTCCCACTTTCTGGCAAAAGCTCTCTGAAGTCTTGCTAAATTCTCCTAAGAGGGCAGGAAAATAACAACAACAACAAAACAAGGACAACAGCACAAGAGTAAGGAGAGCATACAATCAAAAGATTCACCATTAGGAAATCTGGTTATTATCTAGACCATACTAACCTGAAAATTAAAGTAATGAGGGAAATGCCAAGAAGAGAATTTGTACTGAATGCAAGAGAATAAATTAATGGTATATATATATATATATATATATATATATATATATATATATGTATGTATGTATGTATGTATGTATGTATGTATGTATCTATGTATGTATGCATGTATGTATGTATATACATTACTTTATTTTTTGAACCTTGAACTTGTTTTATTCTTCTAGCCCCTCACCCCCAGAGATAACTCCCATGATCCTTAGGGTGATCCCCATGCATTATTATATATAATGAAAATGGAATCTCATACTTCTATTGTCTCATTGTTTTTCATGGTCCGGAGGCTTCAGGGAAGCTCCTGAAGCCTCCGGAGGGCCTCGGTGGGGCGGGGAGTAGGGAGGCTGTTTTCACCCTCTCCAGGGACACGCTGATCATGGGCACATGCATGCTGGGGTCATGCACATAGCATTATGGGTGTGGCACGCCCACACATGACCCCCCTGCGTTCCCCCCTGCTTTTGGCACACGAGCCACAAAAGATTCGCCATCACTGATCTAAGCCATGGTAATACGGATAAATCACCATCATTTAACAGAAATTTCTTATCTAATGTGATATGTTGACTGGGGTGAGTCAGAATAACTGATTCAGGCATCACAGTGGGATAGCGAAATATTGAATTTTGCTTTCAAGATACAAATCCATTATGTGTAAAGTGTGTAAACTGAATGCTTTGAATTGTTGGCAGGAAGATTTTAGGCTAGTGCAATTATCCACAAGAATCCAGATGATCAACAACCTGAAGCGAGGACTGTAAGTATTGAAATGTGAAATCCACTCTCTACTGCCGTGATGGTGAACCTATAGCACATGTGCCAGAAGTGGCACACAGAGCCATCTCTCCGTGCATGCAAGCCATCACCTATTGCTCTTCTGGGTTCCTGCGCACCAGCCAGCTGGTTCTTCAAGTGCGGGGGAGTGTTGGAAACCAGAAGAGCAGCCGCCTAGTGTGCATGCACACGCTGGAAAGATGATCTTCCGGTTTTTGGATCGTGCATGTGTAGAGGCCACCTGGTTTTCCGGTTTCTGGTACACATGCACTTGCGAAGACCAACTGACTGGTGTGCATGTGTGTGCCAGAAACTGGAAGATCATCTTCCCGGCACACACATGTGCACCAGGCAGCTGCTCTCCCCGTTTCTGGTATGTGTGTGCACATGCACACATGCTCACTTTTCAGCACTTGGTGCTGAAAGGTTTCGCCAACACTGCTCTACTGCATAATGCTTTTGCAATGACTCACACAGAGATACAATGAATTTATGTACAAATGATAAGTAAAAGTGTGAGAGAAGAAGGGTGTGGCACAGAAAAGAAGCAAAACCAGTTGCATTACAGCAATAAGAATGATTGTTTTTAAAAGTAACATTTTGTGTTCTGAAAACAAAACATAGTGAAACGGATACAGCATTCTTCTCTGCCCTTACACAGATCAGTACAGCTATGGTTCTTCATTAGGTGAGCAATCCGTTTGGGGTGGAGGTGGGGAAAAGATCTAATTCGCTGGTGTTAATTAATGAATCCGACTCTTAATACTTGCAAGAGAATTGAATTTAGTGCTATGCCCCCTTTGTGGATATACCATAATGTGGCTGTAGATGCTGAATAAGGCTTTTGTCGATTTGTCGAAAACGTTCATGATTATAGTTGCATAATTCACTAGCTGATGGTGTGGAAATAATGATGGTAGACAAGTGCAAGAATAAAAACACTCAGAAAATTACAATGTGGTGTGCAAAACTGTCCATATACAATGGTTGGCTGATTTCAAAACAACTGGCAATTCTGCCCAGGTTGTGGGAAAGAATGTAAATTTAAACCACTATACATGTCAAGCTGTGCAAGCATCAGCCACCACTGCATTTAACAAGCACTAAGTGAGTTAAAAAGCTACAGATCTTTCAGCAGCCGAGGAGTTATTTTCTGTTGTTATAAATTTACAAAATCCAGATGAAGATAAGCTGTCACAACCCCAAGAGGAGAAAACAGGTAAAGAATATTAATGTTTAGTGTGGTCTTCCTTTATTTTTAGGCTCTTAAATTGTAGGCATAGGAAAACAAAAGATCTTGAAAATTTTGATTCTAAATGTTGAAATACTGCTTAGAAGACCCCAGATAATTTGGAAATGATGAAAAGAGACTACACTGAGATCTTTGGGCCAATTGTTGGAAAGCCTATGACTAATACACATGGCATGAGGATTGCCTGACCACTATAATTATTTTGTTATCAAAATTGCTCAGATTCATTTGAAAATTCCACATTGGTGTAGTGATTCCAATGTCTGGCAATGTTATCTGAGGCTCCATTTGGTCTTTTGACCCTGATGAAATGGGTAGGCTACTCTCAGTGGTGGGATTCAGCCAGTTCACACCTACTTGGGAGAACTGGTTGTTAACTTTCTGAGCAGTTCGGAGAACCTGTTGTTGGAAGAAGTTTCCTTTTGTTTCTTTCCACTTTACAGGGCTAATCCTGTAAGGAAGGCAGGAAGGAAACATTCTGGTGTTATTTCTAGCCTAACCTTTATTGCCCTGCTTACAGAAACTGCCTTTCTGGTTAATTCTGATTACATTGTAACAGCAAAGGCCAAGCGCCCATCGACCTGAGTGACGTTGAGTTGGCCCACATGGTCACATGACCACCAAGCCATGCCTATCCAGCTGTTCATTAGGGCAGAGAACTGGTTGTTAAATTATTTGAATCCCACCCCTGGCTACTCTCTGGCATGACCCTTGCCATCTATGGATTATAACCAGACCAGAGGTAGGTTGCTCCCAGTTCAGCCCAGATCATCACATGCAGAAGTGTCACACGCATGCACAAGCATGCCCAAATTGGTAGAAAAAAAATTGGCAACCCACCACTGATTAGAACCACACTTCTTCTGATTGGGACTGGAGGGTGCATGTCAGGCTGAATTCATGAAGCTGAGAATGCCTTGCTTCAGAAAAAGTTAGTATCTGTAGTTTTGAAGGATCTGTAATATAGCCCCTCCTTAAAAGCTACTCCGTGGAATCAATTGTTTTTGACAACAATTAACTCACTATCCAACCTCCCCATTTTAAAAAGTCAACTGAAAGTTTTCAAGTTTGGTTGGAATGTAGCTTTAGAGTCCCCTAGAAGAAACAGATTGACGTGTCTCTTTCAGCCAGGGTTTAGGGCTGGACATGGGATTTAAGGTAGCATTGGTTGATTACTTTTGTTAGGATATGGTTGGCATAAGATACCCCTCTTGATCCTTTTGTCTGGCTGTCATAGCAATAGCATAGCAATAGCATTTAGACTTATACACTGCTTCACAGTGCTTTATAACTTTCTCTAAGGGGTTTTACAGAGTCAGCATATTACCCCCAACAATTTGGGTGCTCATTTTACACACCTCGGAAGGATGGAAGGCTGAGTCAACCTTGAGCCTGGTGAGATTTGAACTGCCAAATTGCAGGCAGCTGGCAGTTAGTAGAAGTAGCCTGCAGTACTGCATTCTAACCACTGTGCCACCATAGCTTATACCTTCAACCATAGTATTCTTCTGTGAGGACTGGGATCTGGAGCCCACTTACTGGTTGGTGCACATCAGCATAAGCATTTTTACAAGGTTTAACTTCTAGTAGGTTTTTAGGTGCAATTTGAAGAGCAGGTTTCAACCTAAAAAGTTTATTGCTGGCAAACAGAGGTAGATGTAGGACTGACTTCACTAACCAGAATATAGCAAACTCATCCATAAAGGTTATCCCAAGATAAACTGTGAGCGGTGGAGTTGAGCCAGGAGCATTTCTTGATAATGACTTTTGTACTTTGGAAAAAATCTTCCTTTGAGACATTCTTCTGGAAATTAGTTAAAATAGAGCTTTTCTGTAGGGTGTTTGAGGATTAATGGATATTGCCATCTGTGTTATTGGTTGTTCTCCATTTTAATCTGTTTATGTTTAGAAGGCTGTTCAGATTGGTTTAGGTTCAGATTGCTTGGAAGCAAACAAGTATTGAGGTCAGGGATTGGATTGGAGGAGTGATAGTGTTGACTCAAAACAGAGCTCCTAACATCACTCCCAGCTTAGAGACACTCAATTTGATTCAGCAGTCACTATTTGGGAATAGAGCAAGACTATCTGAGCCTTCCCCAAACTGGTGTTCTACAACAACCATCCTTCTCATCTAGAGAGATTTATGGCCTAACTCATCTGGAAAGCACCAACTTGAACCACAACCTTTTGGCATGACAAACCACATAATAGTTGCAGTCACCAAGAATGGTGCTGTCTCCAACCTTTACAGTCACTGCACTGTAGAAATAATACACCCTATGCTGCAGATATATAGAAATATTTGAAGTATGAACGACTACCTTAAAAGAAGTGTCAGTGAAATTAATAACCATGTTTTGAATCTACCTAATAACTTTTATGTGCTGAGTAGGCTTATAGATTACAATGGTGTATAGATTTATATATAATATAATTAATCTAATAATGACTGGCTTTGGCTAAGGCCAGGTAGGTCTTAGTGATCTAGTGCACCAAAACAAAGGGACCACTAAGACTTCTCCTCTTTTCAAATATTTCCAAAATTTTGCCTTGGTAGGAGGTGATGTCAACAGTCAATGTGATCTACAGTCATCTTATACACTTGAATCAATGCTGAATAGTATAATTATGCTCCATGAAAACTATATTACATCATACATATACATTTTCATGTAATGCAAAATGGGCAGAATGGACTCTAAGAGTTCCTAGCATTTTAGCAAGCAGCAACTGAATAGTTTATTTTTTTATTTTAAGTAGCATTAAAAATATAGCGTTATATTCTAATGCTTTAGTCCTTTGAAGCAGTATTACAGAACTACTCACTCCAATAAAGAAAACTTAAATTCATTTAGTACACATTATTTTCCCCAGATCTTGTGGAAATCAGTGAAAGAACCGGAGTTATCTATGTGGAAACATCCTGAGTACCTTAAAAAGCTGTTCATTGAGACTAGCTTATAGGGAAATAACAGTGATTCCCCCCCCCCCCCTTGAATGGTCCCATTTGTAAAGAGGAATGAATGATGGAAATTAAGGAAGGTCAAATTCCACAAAAAAAAAATTTGACTCTTAAAAAAATATTTAGGGTTGTAAAAAGCCATGGCACTTGCTTATAGCAAAGTACTCAAGTTTAAGTCTACATTCAACCACAGAATTGACTGGGGTTTTTTCCCACTTCCCCTCCCCTCCCCATCTTCTATAAGGATTGTTGTGGAGGAATAAAATTAGGGGTAGACTTCCATGTAAACTTCCTTAAGATCCTGGCATAATATAAATAAAACATATGCCTTCCCCCTTCGAATCTAAGTCAAAAGGAAAACATGTTTCTCTCTGATATCACCCCTACATCTGTATAATTTCTGGATAAATATAATCTAATAGCAGTCCTTTTAGACAATGATGCTGCCCATGTAACATTAGATGACATTCAGTTTTGAGAATATCACACTTTGGAACTATAAAATCAATATACCCACTGCTTCATAATCTGCCAGTTCCAGTCTAGCTTTATTCTGCATGGTCCTCTTGCAAAGATAGATGGCTATAGAGAAAAACAAACAACAGCAAAATATACCATTAAAGATATGTGAAGGAGGAGGAGGAGGAAGAAGAGGAAGAGGAGGAGGGAGAGAGAGGAAGGGAAAAGGGAAGAGAGAGATGGAATCAGACTCTTTCTGAAAGAACTGTTTCCTCTAAGACAATGGTATTCTCAAACATAAAGAGGCAACATTGAGAAAACTGCACATTTCTCTAATTGAAGAGGCTACTTTAGGTTTCAATCAATTTGATACATGGCAGTTAATTAAGGAATGGAAATTCTAGTTCCAATTATCTAAATTATATGATTGTAAAGCGCAATATCAGATAACTGCATCATTTAGCGACAGCAATCCCAATTGCTGTCATTAAGTGAGAACGACAGTTTATTAAGTTCACAACTTCCTGCTGCCTTCCAACAAGCAAAATCAATGGGGAAGACAGAAGGAAATTGCAAGTCCCAGACATACAGCCAGCCATGGTTCCATAAATGACCATGTGTGAATTGCCTTCCAGACCACTCTCAACCTTGGCAACTTTTAAGATGTGTGGCCCATCTCTCAGAATTCCCCAGCCCCCCTCCCTCCCTCCCTCTGTGTGTGTGTGTGTGTGTGTGTGTGTGTAAAATTACTGTGGGTGTAATTTTGAGCCTGGTCACTTGTTCTATGACAAATAGAACCAAATGCAAAATGTGTTCAAATCTTGGTCATATGTCTATCGTAATTTTGAATGGTTGCCACACAACTGGTTGTAAGTTGCGGAAGGCCTGTAGAAGAAACACTTCCCAAACCTCTTATATTATCAATACAGGTACATTTGATTTCCTTTGCCAAGACCAGGCTGACTGAAAAAGAAATGATTTTATCATTTCTGTGAGAGGGGAGAGCTGTAGAAGAGACACTAATAATGCACAAAGACAGCTAAAGATAACTGTGCTGACACATTCCCTTTATGCTTTACTACTAAATCGTTCAGCCATTTAATACAAAATCTGTGGTTTATTAGCTCATAAACCAAGATTATTTTTTTCTCAGTGTCAGAGTTCAGCCTCTACTAAAAAAAAAAAATTCCTATCCCCTGTTCTACCTGTTCACCTTCTCCCTCCTTCTGTCTCAGGGAAGCATCATTTTTATTTACTACTATTATAAAGATTACTAGTTTGGGTCACATAATAGTTTATTGATCAGCCACATATATATTACCATATATTTTAAAACAAGCTAAATTCATCCATGGTAAACCGAACTTTTCCTTAGAAATAAGATTAATATTGTTATACAGCAATAATATTGGACAGTGTTTCCTCTATTGAATAATGTAGTCCTTGTCTATAACGAGGGACAGCATTCAGGCCAACTGTCTTACATGAAACATCACATGTGCATAACTGTCCTAGGCAGTGCTGCACTACTTGAATAATTGTAATGGAGCAGCAACAAATAATTAAGCTCTTTACTTAAGTTCTTTCCATGCAGTAAAAAATGAGGGGTGGAAAACCTGACCCTTAGACCAGGTATGAGTAAACTGTTGTTGGCCAGGAGTAGCAATTATAATTTTTTTTAGAAGATATGCACCCCAATAAAATGATGATGATCCAAAAAAGACTCCAAGGAACACAAATGAATTGATTTAATGACCACATGCAACCCTGCAGGTCTCCACTCACTCCGTTTCATATGCCCACTCTAACTGAAATGTTCAGCATGCTTCTCTACATAGGTAGTCCTTGTTTAGCGACCACATTTGGGGCCGGCAACTAAGTTGTTAAGTGGAGTGGTCACTATGTGACTGTTCTTAGGATCTTACTTCAGTTTTCCTTTGCTTTACAAACCTGCGAAGGTTGTAGTTGTGAGGACTGATCACAAAGTTACATTTTCATCACCACTGCAACTGCAAACAAGTCACTAAACAAGGCAGACTAAGCAAGAATTATCCATAATGTGATCCATGTGAATAAAGATACTTCAGGTTCCACAACAGCATAATACATATATAAGTTATATGCTTATATGGTTCTGTCCTGAGCTCTGATGAATGCATGGAGAGAGAAATAAGAGACAATACTTATGAAACCTTTCGCCATACTATCCAAGCAGAAACATTGTATAAAAAGACAATGCAACTCAAATACTTTAAATGAAATAATATACTACTAGATGAAAACAGAAGGTATGATACCAAATCTTATTTAATATATTTGTGAAGGTCTGGGTTAAATGGTGGGTTTTCCATGCAAGCTATTTTGAAAGCTGTTCGTGGTTTTCAGAAATGGCAGCTTTTCAGAATAAAGGTGCCACCATTAAGAAGGCCTCTTAGCAAATATCGACAAAATGGTATTCTGGGTTTTTTAATTTGCACAAAGAAGAAATTCCTCAGGCAATTTTGCCAACAAATGATTCTAGATAGCGCACAGAGAGTTTAACTCCCACCTCAACCCCAGAATACAATTTATAAAACTAAACATCCTGAGGCAATAATTAGCCCGGTTTAGTTAATGAGCATCTGTCAGGTATTCTGGCCTCCATTTGTTTACAACATTATATCAAGAGTCAAATGAGCAAGTTCAGTAGCTAATTGGCAATCAATACTGTTGTTTCCACAATAATATAAGATGCACCTTGGCTGCAAAAGAGGTGCTTTGGGCAGGATGGTAGTAAAGAAAATCTCTGAATGCAGGGAGGATTTCTTCAGAGATGGACAGACCACTTCCTTAAAATCCAAAATACTATTCCATCAAGGAAAAATATGTTTACTGATCTTTGGAAATCTCCAAATCATTCCCCCTTTGCTTGCTTGAGTAAGCCAAGGGGATAGAAGACCAGAGAGCACATATAGACTAAACAGTGATAAATGTCTTGTTCTTTTTCTTAGGTCTCATAAATTGAAAGTCCTTTTATACAATTAGGTTGTGGTGCAGTTTGTATCTTCGAGTCTTAATATAGCTCTCAAGTCTTAGCTATGTTGACTGCCTTGGGTTCCCAGGTGACAGGGAATTACTCAGATGGTGCCATGGTTGAGGTGGCTATTTTTATCCTCCCCCCTCCTGTGGATTGTATTTTCACTTACTAATAAAGCTTTTATATTGTACATTTTTTGCTTTGATTTATTGTTTTTATGTATTGATTCTCATTCACTGTCCAGAGTCACCTTTGGTGAGATGTGTGGTTATATGAATTTGATTGATAAATATTTTATCAAAAGCATCATTATATCAGCATCAAGTTGTCATTTTTTTCCTTGAAGGACTTTGCAAATCTGCAGGTTACTTTTCCATCTAGGGTGAATTGAGCCCTCATTTGCATTAAGATCCACAGGTAAGGATGCTTGCCTCAAGGCAACCAGGCATTTGAAATGGGAACATGAAAACTGAGAGGGTCATTGCTTGCAGCCATCTAGATTTCATCCCCAATGTCTTCTCTCTGTCTCCTCTGTGTCTCCAATTTATGGACATCCCTCACTTTCTACCAATATTTTAAGACTGTGAGGGGCAATGGAATATAACTAAAATTCCACAGGGAACTGTGAAAATCACTAATCCAGCTCATAAACCAAAATGATGGAAAATGTTTCAATGTTTTAAAGACAGAAGTCCATCTCACACCTTAGTCCACTGTTCTTTAATTCAGCTCTCACCAGTCCTGGCCAACTTAAGCTCATAGTCACACTTCATGATTTTCAGTCTTCATCCATTCTTCTAGAAGCCAAATCCCTGGTCTTTACAATTCCCCCAAAAGAGTGAAAACCCCTTAAGAGTAGCCCTCTCAGCCATCAGCCAGTGGGTGGCAAATACTCCCAGGGCACAGCTATCAGACAACTCAAGTCCAGCATATAACAAGGCCTTCTCTTCTTCAAGTCAAGCAGGCTGTCATTTAAAAAATGGAAGGACAGAGAGTGGATTGCAGCTTCAAAGAAAATAATGTTATATGTTCTGCTAACGTATTCTGCTTGCATTATTCCTGCTCACCATCTGTGCAAATGCTGGCAACTATCAACTTTCACATCCTGAAACCAAATATAGTAGCACTGTCCAATATGTACTTGGCATTATAACTCCTTGGATTATCAGTCAGCATAATATTCTAAAATTATATTATTCTATCATTTCTTTCAGAGGAAAATGATTATTGGAGACAAGGGTTTTATACAAGTGGCATTTCAAAAGATGCACTAAAAAGTCTCACCATAGTCCGTGTTTTCTGGTTCCCAACAATTTGAAGGCCAGAAGTATGGAGCCTGAAAAACAGAAAATAAAACTTTATTATAAAGGTGTAGGTATTCAAGTGTACATTCTCCTTCAGATATTTGGGCAGCTTAAGTTTCAATGAAATAAACAAACTCTTCCTAATTATTTTAATGCATATGTTTTAAAATAAAGAAACTCAAAATAATTTTGTATAAGTGCTATTTGAAGGTTGAAGGTTTATTGGGATTTATATGCCGCCCTTTTCCCTGAGGGGCTATTGCCCATACACATGCAATACCAGAGAACATGGGAATTATATCAAAACATCCTCCTTGTTAGGATCAGTATGATTGCAGCCCTATGCATATAATTCCAATTACAAATCACAACACATTTTAACAGATTTGCTACCAGCTGAAATGCAGATTAGAAAAAGGCAATTGAAAAGAAATGCTACCATTTGAGCTTTTATGATGAATTAAGAAGCCCATCAGGAAAGACATAATAAGCCTTTGTTTGATTACGTTTCATATCTCCTGATTTCCTATGTGATAGTGTTTTCACAAGCAACAACAACACTTTTAAAAAGGTTTAATTACTTCATTCATTTCGTAGAGCAAGAAGGGCAAATGAATTCAGTTCTTGGGGCCTCTAGAATGGCCCATGTTACACCACTGTTCCACGAACTGCATTGGTTCCCGATTTGCTTCCAGGTGCAATTCAAAGTGTTGGCTATCACCTTCATGGCATGGATTATCTGAAGATCTGTCTCACCCTAATGGGATTGACCTGCCCACCCATGGTAGCAGAAGGGGCATGCTGCAGACCCTGTCAGTCGAGGGATTTTGGCTGTTGCAGTCCAGGAGAAGAGTCTTCTCTGCCATAACTCCTGCTCTTTGGCACACACACACCCCCCAAGTGATATTGTACCCTATTGATCTTCCATAACTGCCTGAAGACCTGGATCTGCCAGTTGAGGTACACCATTCTGGAGGTGGCTATTTGATTATGAAAAGCTACCACCTCTCCCTATGTACTTTATCCTCTCTTTCTCCCCACCTTTCAACTGTTTTTATTTTATTGTTGTTATTGTTCTATCATTTTAATGTCTACTGGTTTTAATGTTTGTAAGTCACCCAGTGTTGCCTCTGGATGAGATGGACAGCACATAAATTTAATAAAATAAAAATAAATAATAAAATAAAGTGAAATAAATCAAATCAACATGGTTTCTCTGAAAACGATCCTAAAATTGAATTTCCCAGTCTTTTCCTTCCTTTATACTAATAAAGAGAAATATAAATGAAAAAAATCATTTCATTAATAATCATCAAAATGACCTTTTCATCCATTGTACCTGCTATGTGAATACCTGATCTGGAGAAAATGTATATAAGATCATATTACTTTCCATCTTATAGTTGTTGTTTTTTTAAAAAACTGCCATGGTTCTTCTGAAAAAATATTCTGGATATATAAGAATGCTGAAATATTAATATTTCTTGGTACTGTATCACTTTTACTAGTCGCATATTTAACCATGTTAGGAAGAGAGGAAAAGATATGCAGTCGTAAATTAAAAAAAATATGACATTATCTAGGTTAAGAATAGCAATAGCAGTAGACTTATATACCGCTTCATAGGCCTTTCAGGCCTCTCTAAGCGGTTTACAGAGA